TGTAAGCTGATTTAAGATTTGCATTGATCGGCTTAAAAATATCAAACAAATCGGAGATGATAATATGAAAAAAAAAAAACAATAAGTTCATTTAAGAGATTCAATATATATGTTCATTCAATCAGACAATACAAATCTATATTCCAAATTTTAGTGAAAATAATAATAATAATAATAATAATAATAATAACAATAATAACAATAATTACATATATATATATATATTTATATATATATATATATTATATATATATATATATATATATATATATATATATATATATATATATATATATATATATATATATATATAAATATATATATATATATATTTATATATATATATATTTATATATATATATATATATATATATATATATATATATATATATATATATATATATATATATATATTATATATATATAAAATGTTAGTGAAAATAATAATAATAACAATAATTACTATATATATATATATATATATATATATATATATATATATATATATATATATATATATATATATATATATATATATATATATATATATATATATATATATATATATATATATATGTATATATATATTTATATATATATCCTGACAAGAAAGGTATATGTGGCCCACTTGTTGCCATAGTGCTTAAAAGTGGAATAAAAGAATTTAACTATATTCCAGTTGCTGATTGATATATATGCTGATGATCAGTGTGGCCCACATATGGAACACATAATGCATCCACACAATTATTCCACTTAGTGTGGTATAATATTTAAATAAATACATGCAAAATTTTTTGAATCTGAGTTACATTTAACAAATAAGTATTTGTTGTTATACTTAAGTTACATTCTACACGGAGTTATAATTAACTAAAAAGGTTGTAATCAGTTATACTCAATGAGAATAAAAAACATCTTAAATTGTTGCGTTTGCTACCAGATAGCAATGTAAAAATTTAAAATGGCAGGCAATGTAAGCAATCAATCGTTATTGTTGATTCTTTTCTCTAGAATTTGGTTGTACATGGATTTTTTATAAAACTATCTTTAGCTACTGTTCAAAGACACTGTAAGATTGCTAGATAAAGAATTTGAAGAAAATATTGCGTCTTCATTGCATGATTTATCAGATTAGTTTTGTGTACTGAACTAATACAGAATAAATTTTTGAAATTAAATAAAAAGTTATTGTACATATATATTTATCTGTGATTAAAATTATAAATAAAAACAAAATGTATGATTTTTTCTTATTTAAGTTTTTTATTTGGTATTCCTATACAAATGAGTAAACATAAAGTATGATACTTACTTGTATCGGTATGAATAACTAAATATTTGTATATGCTATACATAAATACTGACTCTTGACTTGTTTAAATATAATATTTAAACAAGTCAGAAGATTTGTTTATGTAGTAGTACATAAACTTTCTTGTAGGAAAATAATGCGGCTATCTTATTGTTCTTATTTATTGTGCACTCCCAGCCAGAATTCATGATAACTGTATATAGCTGACCCAGAGAAATGGCTGGGTACATATGAAAGCCCTTGATGTCAGGTTTTCAAAAATATAAAATTTGAAATCCAACTGTTTTGTCTCGGAAAACAAATTGAGTTTTTATTTTTATTATATTACAGCATCTAGACAAATGACAACATATCCATTTTTTGCATTTTTACAGCATCAAAAAGTTTGATTTAGTGATAATTTTATTTCTTTGATGATATCATTCAATGATATATATGTATTCATTCATTTTACAGCACTGGTTTGATAAAAATAAACAATAATACAGTCTAACAAATAGACTGTAACAAAAAATAATGCAAAACTTTTTTAATTCTTGAAGTAAGTCTTCTGCTCCTGTTTCAAAACTGCCTTTAAAGAAGCTTGCTGTTAAAGTCAACTATGTATGTTTGAAGTTGCCTTCCATATTCTGAATGGGTTGATGGTCTCTTGTATCTTTGCCAGTGTTGATGAAAGTGATGGTGCATAGCTTCTGTCGTTTGTTCACTGAAGATTCCCAAAGGAGTATTTTTCTTTTGGATGAACTCCTTCACATGAAAAAATACTGCATGCAGTTTTGGAGTCACGCTTCCAGACGGCATTGCCATATATGCTTCTCTGAATAAGTCAATTTTTCTAGAAAAATCAGAAGATAATGTGGACCTAAATCAAGCACTGACCACAGCTTCAAATTTCAGGAAAGTGTTGATAATGGGACAAATATAAATTGAGGATGTTTTCTCTGCAAGATTTTGCATTAAATTCAGGTTCAGAAGCTTGTGACAATCATTTCCAGCAAATTGTCCTCCGTGGATAGGTTGTTATTTTATGTGAAGAGCATCTAGCCACTTTTCAGCATGCAGCCACATTGACTTTAAGATCTTGAAGAAGTGATTGACAACTCCAAGCAGCAGATGCGATTCCATAGGTGGAATTAGATCCAAAACCAATTGCTCATCATCCAAAACAAGTAATGGAGGATGAACCACATTTTTAAATTCTTTTGCCTTTTTCATGTCACGTCCTGCAGCATCAAAAGCTTGACAGGATGATTTGAAAGATCCAAAGGTGTGAATATTTCCAGATTGTGCAAGGTTATTTGATGGGACATCACACCACGTGCAAGGATGTGATAATGAGTGAAACTGAAGTCTACAAAGGATGTTGGCCAGCTTCAGATCACAAGAAACAACAAAATCCTTAAGGTTAGGCTTGATGAGAAACAAAACATTTTGGACATTCAAATAGGTTTCAGATAAATCTTCAGCAGTTGCAATGATAAGCTGATGATTGCAGCCGCTATCTTTGGAAGAGTTTGTAGTCAAGTTTTTCTTACATGGAGGAGGATCATCTTCATAAGGCATTTTCTCAATAGCTTCCAGTGTGACTTTCAGAAACCCACCACCACTATCAATGCCAAGTTTGATTAGTGGCTTGCTGGAGACTTTTCGTGACAAAAGAACTTCGATTATCAGTTCTTGTAGATCTTTACAGTGAACTACAAGTTTCTTGCCAATAACTCCATTGCCTTGTTCAGTTAGAATATCTGTTTGATCGAAAAACCTGGCAAGTCAATTTCCTAATGCAAAAAATTCGTAGCGAATGTTTGGCTCAGTAATTCGGACTGCTGAAACTTGGTTCAAAGTTATCGCTAACTTTTTTACGTTTGTGTTTGACAATCTTTTTTTTTTTTTTTTTTGTATGTATTTAGGTGCTCCCAGAAGTCCTTACGGTCTTATCATAGAGCACCGCGGGAAAACATTTAACGGGAAGTTCACGCCTCCTTCCGTACCAATGTAGCTTGTTGGGCTGGAGCTGGCGTCGAACCTCGGACCTCTGGGTTCTGAGCCAGAACTCTAACCACTGCACGTAAACGAGATCCCCTGCTGTAACTAAGGATGTTGATTCAAAGAGTCTTCTTCCACTTGAAGGATCTTTAAGTAATTATGTTGGCAATTTTATTTAAAATTTACAAGTTGTCACTATTAAAGTAATTAACTTTTCTCAAGAATTGACCACATTTTTGGCATTGGGAACTAATAGAATTGAATTTATATAATTATGCTTCAATAAAGTCATTTTTACCTGGGTGACAAATAAAGGTCGTCCACCTTTTGCTTGAGCCAGACGAATTGTTCCTTGAGGGGAAGCATCTGTGCCAGCTATTGCAGAAGCTGCAATTTGTTGAGCAACTCTGCTGTCTTTTGATGCCAAAAGTCTCATATTTTCACGAAACTTAGCTTTAGTGCATACACGAGAAATTCTTTTTTCCAGAACCGAGAGGCATTTGGAACATCTGTGGTCAGAGGTTGAATTATTATTCACAGCTTTCTCTTTACATGTTGTCATTTTTCTGACTTTTTCAAGAGGATGGGATTCAATTAGCTTCAGATGCCCAACTTGACATATAATGCAATTACAGATCAGTCCGCTTGCAGGTCGTCTGACACTGATGGTTTCAAAGTCATAGAGTCTTAGCATGACAACCTCTTTTCCATCAAGTTTTCTGCGCAGTATTGAACAACATCCTTCACAAATTCCATTTGGCGTTCGTTCATCTTCAAAGTTAATCTTTTGTTCAAATAAGCTTGAAATTTCCTGTGCCACTGATAGTGAAATTGTCCTTATGCTTTTTTTCAAGCACAAGAAACACACAGATTTCCGGCAATCTTTGTGAGTTTTAGTTTGATTGGGCATTTTGAAAGACCAAATGATTCCAAAATCGTAAAAATGAGTGGCTTTTTGTTTTGATGTATTGAGAATAGCCCTTTCCCGTAATTTTAACACCAATAATAAAAAAAATCATTTCATGTAAGAAATACAGGTATGCTCTTTTTGCAAAGTCATAAAAACAAAAAAAAACAATGTTTTAGTGATGCAATAATAAAATTATCACTCACTTAAATTTTTTTGTATACTGTAAAAATGCAAAAAATAGTTATGCTTTCATTTGTCTAGTTGCTGTAATATAATATTAATAAAAAGTCATTTTATTTTCCGAGACAAAATAGTTGGATTTCAAAATTTATATTTTTGAAATGCTGACATCAAGGGCTTTCATATGCACCCAGCCATTTCTCTGGGTCTGCTAAATACAGTTATCATGAATTCTGGCTGGGAGTGTATGGTATTAATAGGATAAACATTTAAGCCACATATGGAAAGCATCAATGCCATCCCATAAAGGGGAGTGTGAAATTTATGGCTATTATGTTTACTACACGCGGGCCACATGAAACTTTCACGCAAAAATAAACTGTGGCTTTCATTCCTATATAGTGTGGTTTTAGTGGGATTTTTATAGGAACATTATAGCCACATACAGTACGCACCAAAGCAATTCCATAAAGAAGAGTGATAAATATATGGTTAACATGCAATTGCCATATATGGCCCACATGAAAATTTCTTGTCTGGATTTATATATATAATATATATATTAATTTGCTCACAGTATGTTGTTATTCTATATAGTATTCAGATTTGGTTCAATATTTACTCATGCTTCTAACTTATTTTAATAATATTTAAGGGAACTCAAATGCGAGGTTGGGAGGAGGGACTCCACGGAAAGCAGTTAAAAATGTTTTGAATGTTATCACGGAATACAGGCATTATTTAGCTTCTTATTATAAATGTAAGCGTTAAAATAAAAAAGGCAAGCGTTAAATGCAAGTTTGTAGCTATTGCATCTTATATAAGACAAAAATATTTTTGTTAACATTAAATAGCTGAACGTGAAGCAGTATTACATTGTTCATTTTCTCCTATTCATTAATTGCAAATATATTTACGGTCGTTTTTTATATTAATTTAGTTTTTTTATCTATGACTTTCCAAAACTAATAAATATTACTTTAATATAAATTTTATTGTAGATGTCTTATAATTTGTTGACTTTTTAATTGTAGATGTCTTATTATTTGTTGACTTTTTAATTGTAGATGTCTTATTATTTGTTGACTTTTTTATTGTAGATGTCTTATAATTTGTTGACTTTTTTATTTTAGATGTCTTAAAATTTGTTGACTTTTTGGAAATCAAATTCAAAAGCAAAGTTTCTTTACTTTGCTTTTGAATTTAATTGTTTATTTTTGGTTTTCATAAACATGCGCTATGATTGACAGTCAATTTTATGATAAATATTATTTCTTTAGATACTATTGTTGGTGACAAAATTGGTTATGATGCAAGCAACATCGAGGATGCCATTGGCGACACGTTAAAACGAGCCAAAAAAATAATGTTTTTGCTAGACTGTATTTATACATTGATATTATCAAAAATATTACTCTTTTTATTTTTTTGTAATATTTTATGTCAATACTGGAATTTAATTTTTTATTAAGTAACCTTATTAATATCCTAATTAGGGTTTACACTCGTGGTTAATCCCAAAAACACGTGTATATTAAATTTAAGCTTTGTGGGAAGAAAAAAAAGACTTTCCCAGCCGGCACAGCGCCGACTTTTAGTCGATTAAGCCGATTTTTAGATAAAAATAAGACATCTAAACTATGTTTTAAAGATGATCACATTAAGAGTTCTTTTTTCAGGCATCTGTTAGACGCAGTTGAGACATCTAGTTTTTATGCAAATTCTTGATACCGAAGAAACATAAATAAGTCATCTAAAAAACATCTTACAGACTATCACATATTAGATGTCTTTTTTCAGGCATTTGTGAGACGAAACTGAGACGTCCAATTGTTATGCAAACTCTTGATACATATAAGATAAAAATGAGTCTTCTAAAAAACGTCTTAAAGACGTTTACAAAAAAGATTTATTTTTTCGGGTATCTGTTAGACGCAGTTAAGACGTCTAATTTTTATGGTAAATTTTTGATACATATGAGATAAAAATGAGTCATCTAAAAAACGTCTTAAAGACCTTCACATACAAAAAATCTTTTTTCGGGCATTTGTGAGACAAAATTGAGACGTCTAATTTTTATGCAAATTCATGTTACATATAAAAATAAAAATAAAAAAATTCAAATAACTTCTTAAAGACGATCCATATTATATTATCTTATTATAGTCTTTTTTTTATTTTATATGTATCAAAAACTTGCAGAAAAGAGACGTCTCAACTTCGTCTATAATATGCCTGAAAAATAAAATCTATTATGTGATGATAAAAAATAATCTATAAAAAATCTAAAAAAAAGTCTTAAAGACGATCACATGTTTTATATTTTTTCAGGGATCTGTTAGACGCAGTTGAGACGTCTGATTCATAAGACATATGAGATAAAATAAGACATCTAAAAAAAATCTTAAAGGAGTTTACATTGAAGATGTCTTTTTTAATAAGTTTCAAAGACACGTAAACCCGTTTTTCTTTCTTTGAAATTATTATAAATATTAATTGTATGACTTGTATAGTTATACAATTAATATTTATGCATAACTTTGAGACATATCAGATAAAAATGAGACTTCTTAATGACGATCACATTTTTTCAGACATCCGTTAAACGTAGTTGAGATGTACTTAAGTTTTTCAACGATCTCAAGTGTAATTGAGGCGTCTTAAAAACAATTTAATAACTTATCTCAATTAAACGTATTTTTTCAGACGTATTTTAAGCGCAGATGAGGTCTAATTGTTAAGCCAATTTTTGATATGTTAACGATAAATCTGAGACATCTAAAAGACGTCATAAAAACGGTTACATAGTAGATGCATTAATTTGGACATCTGTTAGACACATTTAAAATGCCTAAACTTGTTTAAGTTTTTCCGAGATGTCATATAAATTGTTTTTTTAATTAACTTACATTAGACATCATTTTTCAGACACCAGATAACACATTTTTCATATATATATATATATATATATATATATATATATATATATATATATATATATATATATATATATATATATATATATATATATATATATATATAGGTACGTGAGTAAAAACTTCAAATTGTTTGAATACTATATTGTTATATATCATTAGAAAGAGGATTATTATAGTATTTTAAAGGTGAAAAAATAATCAAAATCGAACAATTGGTTCTAAAGTTATGACGGTTTAAGTACCGATTTTTCTATATATGGATTTTTTTTTAAGGCATAAGCAATATAAATATACAAAAAAATTGTTTTAAATTTATACTAAACTAAAATATATGAGAGGTGTATGTTAGCAATAATGGTGTGTGTGGTGGTGATGGTTTGGTACACCCTTGTATCAAAAACGACTTGATTTTATAAATATTTATCTTTACTAAAATGAGTAAAATTAGTATACAATATAAAACTATGTTATACAAGATCTTACGTATACAAGTGGTGTTTCTATTATGGGAGGGGCGTATGATTCTCCCCCCCCCCGCCCCTTAACCTAAAAAAATAAATGCAATTACTGTTTTCAAAATTTGAATAATAAATTAAAAAAAAAATTATGAAACTGGAAACAATTTAAAAAATAAATTCATATCAAGCAACCACCAAATATGAGAGATGAATGTAAAACTCATAATAGATATGTTGATGTTTTAGTACTATAATATCAAAAACATTTTTAATTCTTGAAGTATCTGATTGAATATTTAAAGTACAAAAACAAAGAAGTAAAAAACATATTCCACTAGATTAAAATATACATTAGTAGTGCATCCATGGTCATAAGAGAGTTGAGTATAAGGGAGGGCCTATCCAAATATATCATAAGGGAAGGGGCATTAGAATGCCTCTAACCAAACCAATTGGATATATATTACTTTAAAAATTATACAACTACTATTTTGGAGCTATAATTATAAGTCAATTGGCTGTAAAAAACATGTCATCTTTATAACCAAGTATAGCAACATCCTATATTAAAGTCTTTCATGTGATTATTACATTAACAGAAGTAAGGACCATACAGTATGGTTAACGAGCTAGCCATTCTGTTTGGTTAACAAACAAATTTCTGTTTCAAAATAAATAATAAATAAAATGATAACATTAAAGAAAAAATTTTAAATTATTTTAAAAATAATTTAATATATTTTTGTCTTGGCTTTTAGTGAATGATTAATATGATTAATTCCAGTAATGAAACTATATTTAAATTATTTTCAACAATAGACACCACACGAAGGTAAGCCAGAGTTGTCTATCAAAAAATTTAACAAATTACAACACTTGCTATATAATTTAGGCAAGTCACAATACTAACTGTATTATTTATGCAAGTCACAACACTTGAAATACATTTTTGGCATGTCACAACATTTGTTGTATTATTTATGCAAGTCACAACACTTGAAATACATTTTTGGCATGTCACAACATTTGTTGTATTATTTATGCAAATCACAACACTTGCTATATATTTTAGGCAAGTCACAACACTTGTGTTTTTAAATTCATTAAATTGTAACTCACCAGAAACAACATCAGCAGCTTGCTGGATCTTTTTCATGCAATAGTCAGGAGCTTCAATATCAGTTTCATCATCTTTCCAGTAAGAAATGGTGTAAATGAAATCATTTTTTCTTTTACTAACTTTGCCATTTGATTTTTTGTCTTTAGCAAGTCTCATCTCTTGCTTTGCATTGATTCAGTCAATATGTAAATCTGTTTTTACGTGCTACATTAATTGACCATTTAACAATCTTTTCTCTTAAACTTAAATCTGGAGTGTCTAGATAGTCAACAGTCTTATTCTTTTTTGATCTTAGTTTGCAAGGGATATAGCAAATTGTTCTATTAGGAAACATACCCATTAATTCCTCACTATCTATATTGTGAAGCTATGCACTAGCTGTTTTCTCTTTAAATGTCTCCGTCACAGTAAGAGAAGCTAGTAGTAAATGACTAAATACTAAATTATTATATCATACAATAGGGATATAACTGACTAATCCTCTCTAAATATATATATATATATATATATATATATATATATATATATATATATATATATATATATATATATATATATATATATATATATATATATATATATATATATTATATATATATTATATATATATTATATATACTATATAATAACTACTAAGCTATTAAATACAGAAAGTAACTAACTGATGTTGTCGGCTACAACTTCACTGTAACTTTGAGCATCTAAAACAGCAAAAGAAATATTTAAGTTATAAATAAAGGTTAGCTAGTGGCCAAATAATAATTTGAAACAGTTTAATAAATTTATATTAAAATAACTTATTCATAAAGATATTCCTTAATAAGTAAACTTTATTTATTAAGGAATATCTTTATGAATAAGTTATTTAAAAGACAAGATACTTTATTATAAAGACAACGTTCAAACTTCAAATTAGATATGTAACACCTTTAGTGTGTATTGATAAAGTAATAATCTTTAGTTAGCATGTATCATTAAACTATACCATTGAAATTGTTAAAATTTACTAAACTTACAAATCGCCTGTCTGAATTCACCTAAAAGCCAATTTTAAATTACAATTTAATTATAAAATTAAACTATAACACTGACATTGCAAAAAATAAGTTTAAATGACTAAATAACTAAAATAGTTTAAATTTTACTTGTTCTAAATTGTTTATAGAAAAAAACAACATTGAGTCAATAAAAAGAAAGCAACAATTAGAAATACATAAATAAACAACTGTAAAAAATTTTTGAGGATAATTGTAATAAAGATCTTTAAATGAATACTGAAAGCAGATAACTAAATACTAAAATAATAAAGCATAACAAAGAAACTAACTTATCCTCTCAAAAGCATCTTCTAAAAAACAATTGAAAAACTTTTTTTAACAAAATAATACAAACATTTGTCTAGACTATATCTACTGATCTTAAGTTAAAAGAAACTAATGGGTATGGAATTTGTAAAATAACTAACTAATATTGTTGGCTGCCACCATCGTACTGCTTTGAAATGCTAAAACAATATAACAAATGTTTTGCATTATGTTACATGTATTATACATAAAAGTTGAATAATTTCACTAACATATATAAGTTATATATGAACGTATTTTATTTAATAAATAAAGTACGATTCAACTGTAATAAATAATATAAATAAAATAAATAAAATTCAACTGTAATAAATAATATAAATAATTTACATTATTTATTACAATTGAAAGATTAACAGTCAATTATTAAAAAAAAAAGATTAACAGTATTATAACACTCTTACATTGTAATACAATGTAAGATAAAATATGTTATAATATTAATAATGTCTTTAAACTTTAAAGTTACATTAAAATTCATTTTATTTAAATGAATTTTAATGTTTCCTTACTAAGTAAGGTAAGTAAACTAATGTTTCCTTACTAAGTAATTTAATACTTTAAACTTTAAAGTTAAAAGTAGGTTACTT